AGGGGTGGTCCTGCCCCCCGCCAGGATCCCGCTGCTGGGGGGACACGTGGGGACAGGGCAGGTGCCCCTTTGCACAGGCTGGTCCTGGCCTTGGGCGGGGGGGAGGGAAGGTGTGACATACTGCTGCTGTGCCCCATGTGTTGTCACCACCCCTCTGCTGGGCCAGGGGGACACCCTGACTACGGGGTTGCCCAGCACGATGGCATGATTGCTCTTGTATTTACTTCGAGGCTTACCTGCAGGCTCTCCAGGCGGCAGGCTGAGACCCCGCGCCACCACACCAAGAGGACATGAGGTCTCCACCACCCCCCAGACCATCCCAGCTGGGTGGGCAGGAGAGGAAAATCCTAGCGTAGCCCCCCAGCCCCTCACCCAAGGGTGTTTACAGGCTCAAAGGCTCTGGCGCTACCATGAAATCACCGATTACCAGTGCAGGGCCAGGGCAATTTTATTTCTCTCTGCTAAAAAATACTACAGCTGGTTCTGCACTCTCTAAGAGAACAGTAATTACAAGAGGAGACGTTGCTGCTCCTCGGACACCCAACACACCGACGCTGGGCCGTAAGCTCTCACTGTTTCCTTTTAATCCTCCTGAACTCATTACAACAGCAAAGTGCTCCAGAACCAGGCACTGAACTGCCAGGACAGGGAGGCTGATTTTCAGCGAGCCCTAAAGGATGCTTAAAAGATTCCTTGGACACTCCCCACAGCTGCTGGAGGAGCAGGGTGGAGGACCAAATGGGAGAGAAACCCAAATGCAATGTGCAAATCCACTTAGAGCACAGCTCCGCGCCAACACCCGCCCTGGGACAGAGCGGGCAGGAAGATCCCCCTGCCGCCTGCAGACTTCTCCCATTAAATGCCTAGTTATTTATCAAATAAAATTGTGCCGTTTAATTTGTGCCAAACTGCCACTTGTTTGGTCTACATTTTTTCCTGGGAAACTAGAGTACAGAGGCCTATTGTTTTTCAGATGACTCAGGTGCCTGCCCATGCACAGAACCAGCCTTAAAGATAGCAGGGGTCTGATGTGCACATGAATGGCAGGATACACCCCCATGGGAACATTTGTTCCCATTAAGCTTTGCAGTTTTTTGAAAGCATGTAGTCATTTAAGGGAAATATTAATATTTACCACTTAAACAAAAAAACTGGCTCCAAAAAAGCAACTGAGATCACTGGCCTGTCCCCTATATTTCCTCACGGATATGCGGAGGCTGCTGGTTGCACTGGAGCTATCTCGGGTCGTGCTGGTCCTCCAGGGAAGCGGATGCATGCTAGGTCTAACGGGGTGGGTGCTTTCAAGTGGACCCATGTAAAAGGAGCGTAAACTCCTTTGGTCAAATCCTTCCTGGGGAAGGGAGCAGAGCAGATGGGAATCAGCTCCAGGACACGCTGCTGAAGATGGAGCTTCATCGCCGGGGAAGACGGAGCGGGTGGGAGAAAGGAGCCCTCTCAGCAGCAATAGAAAGGCTTGTTGATGCTGGTGGAAGCGCAGCTCCTCGTTACATAGCATCTTACATTACACAAGCAGGAAACAGAACGGTTTGCTCATTCTGTCTGGATCCAGCCAACCTCTGGGGAATGATTTCAGCTCACTTAATCTCATAAGCACAAAGCACAGGCAACTTTTCCCAAGAGCCTCGAAGGGACGGTAATCATCTTATTATGCAGAGAGTGTTATTGTTTTTTCTGGTGTATGGGGGAGATGAAGCCTGATACTTAACTTAGCTAATAGTTGCAAATGTAGTTGCCGGTGGAGAGCTTCCCCAGCTGACCATACTGAAAGCATAGGATCTAATTTCGCGGCCGAGACACTCACCTTATCCGTGGTGCTCTGTCATTTGTCCTGCGCAGGGATCCTTTCCTTAAAGAGCATCTTGGTTTCTTACTGTCAGAAAAAAAAAAAAATCCACTGTTACACTCTTTTTCCTCCAGGCAGATGTTAGCAATACAGCCCTTGCCCATGATGGACCTGACGTGGGATTCCCTGGATGCTCCCCACAGCTCCCTGGGGAGAGGGGTGGAGGGCGAATGCAGGACCTGGGCCAAGCAGGTCGCCTGTGCCTGGTACGGGCGCTGAGCTCGCCCCACAAAGGCGCGCTTGGCAGGCTGCTGAGGCTTGGACACAGCGATACCAGCGGCAGGGCATGGGCCCATTTCTTCTCTCCTGTGCAGCGCAGATCTGCAGAGTGGGCGTTTTAGGAGCATCGCGGGGATCCTGATTCTCCCCTCACTCGTGCAAACTTACAGGGCTGTACCATCTGCCGCACCCCAACAATGTGTTTTACCATCTTCACTAGCTGCACACACTCATTTAAGAATAGAGATCACCAACTCCCCAGGCAACCCTTGCATGAATCCCCAGGATCCTCATCATAAACGTGATGGTGAGAAAGGGGATGGATTCATTCACTCCCAGCTTCCCTCATGGCACTCAGCTTTCAGCTTCCTGCTAGATAACAACATGCTGTGCAGGACTAAACACACCACTGTTCAAGGTCTCCGTTAGAGCCTTCTCAGCCGTTCCATGATTATTCCATAAGTGTACTGCAGCATTTTAAAATTCTGCAATTATTTTAATTGCAAAATGTTTGCTTTTCAGCTCCATTTACTGGGTCAAATCTTTGCTCAAGCCAGTACCTATGTTATCTGCTTAAGAACCGCATATAGCCCATTAAAAGAGCATTTAATTCTTTGCTTGTAGGAAGGGTTCAGTTTTTTATATGCTAATATTAATTTTGCCGGGAGGAAGTCCCCCAGGACATAGCCTGACAAAGTTCCCTTGAAATCAGTGGAGTCACGCCAGTTCTGAGTGGGGGGGATCGGTTTTGCTGGCTCTACTAATATAGGTGTGATAAGTTTCTGACAACGGTGCTAAGGGATTTTGGCTCCTCATTTCAAGCCTATCTGGATTTTTAAGTCCTCCCTGGACCGATGTTTTACATGTTTCCTCCAAAGCCTTCTCCCTTGCACATTAGAAGTTTACTCCCACGACATCTAATATTAATGTTTGTCTCGCGGCCAAGAAAGAAATGCTTCTGCCCAACCTCCCTCTTAGATTTAACAATGTTTAAATCTCCTTGTCAAGGGGAGAGGCTGTTTTACCACCAGTGTGAATTATGAGATACACTGCGTGCCTGCCCTGACCAGGTCCGAGACTGAATGCCAGGCAAGCTGCAAGGATGACCCTTTTGCCCACCCACCCTTTCCTAGACCCGTCCTGCAGTCCTCCTAAGTGCACGGCACCAGATCCTCCTTCATCCTGACAGAATCCGTGGTGGATTGAGGACCAAAGGGGTTGGCTGGCCTTCGGCCCCCAGCCGACTCCCGGGGCGGTAGGTAGGCTTGGCATGTGTTCGGGGCCAGTGGGGGGTAACCCGACTGTGTTCCCTACTCAGAAGAGAGCTCTGGCTCTGTAACCATGAAAAAGAAATGATTAACAGAGCAGACTTAATAGGAAGGCAACACTAAGGTCCCACACCGGGAAACCTCTCTTAGAGAGAAGGGCTTGCGTCCCGTTTGCAGGATGTGCCCAAGTACGCAAGTGCTTCCCCAAACCGGGGCCAGACGTGGCTGTAGTGACAGATGAAGATGGATGGATGGGGAGACAGACAGTAGAGTGACACACACACAGATGCAAAACTTTCCAACTGCTACAAAACACGCCTGACCCCATACCTGCTGTGCACAATGGTCTCTCGCTGGCCTCCGCAGGGGTCTTCCATAGAACTGGAAGTACTCGCTAAAGCAACAGGGACTTTTGATGCTTTTGAAAATAGGGAGTATCGGCTTTTCCTGCTTTAGGACAAACTCTTCTGCTCAGACTTTTCATAAGGCTGTTTGTAACCTTTGCACTGAAGTTTAGAGTTTGGAGCAGCCCCTGTTCTGCAGAGCTCTGTAAGGGAAAAGCCCTCCCACTATTCTGTTATGTCCCATATTGTTCTCCATTGCGTCAGCTGCAGACCAGTTATCTCGGTGAAAATCTAGAGGAGTCCATTGATGTCAATGGGATCAAAGCAGGTCAAACCAGGAAAAATACTTGGCCCATAGCATTTAGTCTGTCGTCACCAATTGCCCAGTGCTATGCATATTATGACCCAGATCTGATTCCCACAAAGCGAATTTTTTGCCTGAGTAAGGACTTCACAAGCATTAAGGATCTCAGGACTGGTATGTTATAACTCCAGGCTACAATAAAGGCATACAGCACCCTACCTTTAGCCACGCAAAAGCAAATGTATGAACACTGCAACATCCTGTACCGCTCAGCCAGGTTTATTTTCTCTTATTACTGCCACTCACGAATGAGTTCTTATTTACATTTAGAGGATGTAGTAATTGCTGCTGTTCAAAAACTGGGAAATGACTCATCTTATCCAGGAATACACTCAATTTCACTGTTTTCTGTGAAATTTCCCTGGCAAAAAGTGGCATTAGTCAGTGGAGAACGATCCCCTGACCCTGCTTTTCCCTCTGCATTTTTCCAGTGAATCACTGCCCCAGGAGCGTACCGAAAGCACAGTGGGAGTAAATGCAAGTTGCATACATAGCGCTATCATTCCCCTAATCATGCCCATACCAGCGAGCAGCCACTTTCAGAAGAGAGCGTGTAACAAGACCATTTTGCTCTAATTATGCTTCTGTACCAGGAGAAAGTCTCCAGCTCCAGAAGTCTGAGTTCCTCTCTGCAGTCACCTCCCAGAGAGCAGCCAGGAATCCAACCATTCACTTTAGGAGAAGGGATGGAGAATTAAACAACATTTCTGACCATCCTCTTCTGCTCACATCTCCTTTTCCTTGTCTTTCTCTACCTGCTTTGAAAGCTCGAGTTAAATCCTCTCTCACCATGCCCTTCAGCTACCGGTGTGACTGTGAGTCAGGTTCGTTTACTCTAATTCATTGCAGTTGGTAAATCTGTCTCCCCAGAGCCAGCCCCAGCTGCAGCAGCAGACAATGGGAAATGGCTCAAACGAGCACACTTCCCAGATTCAATTTTTCTTCTAGCACTATGGATGGGAACTAGTTCAATCCCTAGCATCAATCGTTGGATCACAGGGAATTAACTTTAGGAGCTGAACAAGCCCAAGACAGGGCAGATTCGGTGTTTTCTGTGCCCACCCCTAACCCCACTTTTATCCAGAGGAGGGATGGAGTTATTGAGGCGGCTCTGGCTCCAGCTACTATATCTGGGCTTCTGTCTCCCACAGCTTCCCAGACAGCGGCAGAAGCTTGCCAGTCCACTTGTAAATTAATTTTATCACTTACAAAGCCTTGTTACTTCTTCTTATGTTTGATTCTTTGCAGGGTGAATTGATTCTGTGGATGGTAGACCTTGGGAAAAAATCATGCCCAATCATTTCTGTCAAGAGCTATTCACTGGCATGGTCCCGCTCCGTACTCCCTCCAGCGTGGACAGCTGAAGCCCACGTATCCCCGCTGCTCCCACCCATGGCCAGTCTCTTATCCCCAGATACCCCAAGATAAGTCACTGCAAGCTTCCTGCCTGCGCTGTGTAATGCAGCAGGTTAGGACCGCAGGAACCCCCGCTGAAAACAAAAAGTTTGCAAATTACCTAGCTCTACGCTCATAAATTTGAGAGGCTTTGCTGAGCTGCTGGCATGCAAACATCAGCGCTTATCCAGTGCAAGCCCCAGTTCTGCGTAGCAGGAGGACCAGTCCCTGCCCCGAGCATCGTCTTGCTCTGCATCTTGCCTGTTTTCAGCGGGGGTTCGAGCTCTGCTAGGACGTTATCTGAAATAAGCAGCAGGGCTCCACTGCTCGAGGTCCTGCAGCCACGGCACAGAGAAGAATGAGCAGAAGAATGATGGACAACCTGTCACGGTGCTGGGGGTGTCGGAGAGAGAGAAACGGGTGAAAGCAGAGTGTGAATTATGGAAACGCAAGAGATTTGTTAGGTATTTCCAGCTATCTCGCAGGTATTTGCGCACGCGCACGGGTCCGCAGCCGCCTTCTGCGCGCACGGGAGATAAGATACACCTTCACGTCCGACTGCCGGGACTCTGCTGTTCGGGGAGAACGGCCCGAGCGCCGGCGAGGCGGGTTAGACATCAGAGCAGCGTGGGCTGGCCTCTGCTCAGCGCCGCAGACGCCG